GGAAGGAAGGAAGGAAGGAAGGAAGGAAGGAAGGAAGGAAGGAAGGAAGGAAGGAATGATTCTAGGATGTTGTACAATCATTTCCACATTCTTTTAAACTGTAGATTGATCTCTTCTACTGTGGTTCTCTAAATTTGCTGGCATAGCTGGGTTAGAATGGATTCCTCTTCTGTTGCTTGAAATTTTTTTGTGGATATTTCTATAGCCTTCAGATTTGGTAAGGATTGAAGTGCTTACTAACTTCATCTTCTGGTACTACAGGTTCTTGTAAGTAGGCAATGCCTTCTAAGGTAAATTGGATATTGATATCTGTACTGTACAGTATTTCATATGTTCCTTCCATCTTTTTTGATCTTTGAATCAGTTACTATATACCAGTTGGGGTCCTTTAGTGTACCAATTTGATGTTGTAACCACCTTCTCAGTTTAAAGATCTTTCTGAAGACTTTTTTTTTTAAATTTTCCATGTCTGTTTCCATCTTTAATGTCTTTACATATGTCATTGTAATATTGCTTCTTGTCTGTTTTATCAGCTCTCTGAAACTCTTTGTTAAGTTCCTTTCTGAGATTTTTGTCTTCTTGGCTTTGGCTTCTCTCATCTTACAAATTCTATGGTTTGTTCTAACATCTAGTTTGTTTTCTTCATCTTCCACAGTCTTTTTTCACATTCATTCTTAACCACTTTTTAAAAATTTCATTCCATAATTCTTCTGATTCAGAATTTCAAAGTGATATCCTTACGTTCTCCTTGAATGGTGGGTTTATTATGAAGTTCGTATTATGGAAACTGGTTGGATTTCTTATTATCATTTAGCTTAACTTGGAACTTGCACATGAACAGTTTGTGATCTGTCCCACAGTCAGCATCTGGCTGTGTTTTTGAACTATTACTGAGCCATTCTCCCTTCTTTTAGCACTAATATCATCAATAAGACTTCTAGGTACTCCATCTGGTAATGTCCATGTATATAGGTGTCATTTTGGTTGTTTGAAGACAGTGTTAGCTATGAAGGAATCATAAGAATGACACAAAATGATCAGTTGTTCTCCTGCTTCATTTTGGTTCTCTAAGACATACAGTCCTATTACATTTTCCTCCTTACTATTTCCAACTTTGTCATTCTAGTCTCTAAGTACAAGCAGCACATTTTCTTGCAATCAAACTTGATAATAAAACTCATTGTACTTCTTCTCTTCTGCATTAGTGGTTGGAGCATAAACATGGATCAAAGTCTAATTGATATTATTCAGTCATTGATTGCATTGTAGCCAAGTACTGTTCTTGCTATAACCTTCTTAACTAGAAAAGTAATGCTGTTCCTTCTTTGTTTTTCATGTCCTGAGCAATAAACAATGTGATCTTCTGACTGAAAATGTCCAATCACAGTCCATCTCAATTCACTGATGCCTAAGATGTCACGTTGTAATCATTTCATTTTATCTTTCACTGTATTGAGCTTCCCTGTTTTCATGCTTCTTAGGTTCAATATTCCTACTATAATTCTATCTTTGCAGCTTCAAATTTTATTTTCCTTCTTGTAAGTAAAGTTGAATCTTTCCACCTTTTCCCACAAGGAAGAAATGGATGGTGAAGATGATGGAACTTGCTGAGATGGCCAAATTGACAGCTTTAATTAGAGACAGGACTCTAAGTTTAATGCTGATTGGAAACCCCTTATTGACTTTTTGCAGGAAACAAATTTTTAAAAAAATGAAATTATGATATATGGCTTTGATGGTTAGGAAAAAATATAGCTTAAAGAAAAAATGTAAACAATATGTAACCATAGATTAAGAGGTCAATTTACATTTATACTTATAATTGCTGTAAGAGAAGATCAGAAGTTACTCCTTTATATTCCTTTTTTCCCTTCTCTTTGATTTCTGCATTTTTGCCTTTATACTTTCCTTATT